AACGGCGCGGCGGGAAGAAAGCAAGCGAGAAGAGACCGACCGCGTGACGTGACATGTTGCGGTCGAATTTCAACGACTAATTTTTCTGTTGCCCTCTCCCCCGTTTGCTGTCGCGTTCAGACTGTCTCTAGGGATATCCCTGTCTCTGTGCGAGTTTGTTTGTGTCCTCGTCTTTGCTTTATTCTGTTTTATTTTGTCTTTTGTTTTGTTTTTTACTGGCACGTACCCCCGCCCCTTCCTTTGGCCGTCGACCTGCCTCCATGTAGTGGGAGGCTACCCCCCCAGGCTGGTGGTGCGGCCGTTCCACTAGTCTAATTATTTATTTTATTTTTATTTTATTTGTTTCTGATTACATTTTGTTTTCTTGTATTTTATCGCTCTGCTGACCCTTGGGGTCCATTTTATTTTGGTATACCTTTTCTAGGTACGTTAGCCTGTGACCACGGAAATCGGCCGAGTCAAGTGATGGATTAGTACGGAGAGATTGAGACAGAAGGAGGTACTGGATAGAGAGACCGGGATGGTTTTTAATGTGAAGACAACAACAACAACAACAGATAACAACCGATTGCAATAATGTGCACAGCAACGTAGACAGACGTGAATAGGACCTTGTAAACAGTACCATAGAGTAAATGTGCCGATTAAGGACCACTTAACGGAGCCCCCGCTCTGAGAGGTCGTTCTCGGGTGTCTTGACGATTTGTGGCGACAGAGAGGTAACGAACGTTAGCTTATAACACGATCTAAACGATGAAAAAACAAAAAACAAAAAAAGTGCATGTGGTGATGACATGGTGCCAGCGTAGTATTCTTCATTTGTCAGGGGAAAATACCGGTAAAACACAAATGCCCCGATTAAGGACCACTTCGAATTCGTAGTGATTGCGCACGTTCTAATGATTTCCAGAACTTTTCCTCTGGCAAGTATCGTTATGGTAGTTATACAAAGCATTTCCGAAAATAATATTAAAAAAAAAATGCATGCCCGGGGACAAAAACAAGAAATCCCCGTGGTTTTTTGCCTGTTTTTGGGCCAAAAATGGATTACAGTGGACACCACGCTAAGAGTTTTCAAGCGTTTTTTGCCCGTTTTTTCTTCGGCATCGTGGCAAGCACCCCTAAAATAGACACCATGCAAATTTTTGTCGTCATCCGGGTTGATGTAGTCTCTATCTGACATACAGACGCGATTGTTGCCCCCATTTGGACGAAAATCGAGGGGGCAAAATAGAAAAAAAAGGAAAACAAAGCGGGTGAAAAAATGAAATGCACGATCCAGGGTTCGAACCTGCCTCGTACTAGGTCTGTGGAGAGCAAGAAAACGCTAGGCCACACAGTGGCCTACCATTCGAGGAAAACTGCCGATATATAGGTCAATATTATGACCTGGCTTAGCCGGAGCCATCACACAGCACCAAAAACAAAAAATGCATACATCACCTGGCGCAGAAAGGTGTGTAGAACGAAGTCCTCCACCAAATTGAGTAAACTTAGGCTTAAACGAAAGGTGAGGTCCATAGCAACACGAAGAAAAAAACAGAAAGGCTTTCCGCGATGGTATCGGCAAGATATGTTTTTTTGAAAAAAGTGGTCCCTAATAGGGGGGTGGTCCTTAATACCCACACTTACTCTAATAGGTAAACAGGCTTCAACCACGGCTGCTACGCCAGTGTAGTTAGATAGTTTGGATGCAGGTGACACCGGGAGTGACGATGCCTGATGCGGGGTGCGGTCGGGGCGGAGACCACCCGTGGGAGAACCCGCACGCTAAAATTAAATTTCCTCAAGGTTTGTAATGTTGTTGTTGTTGTCTGGAGGTGTCTCCGTTCTCCCCCCGGTTGGTTCCGAATGCTGCAGACCCCCACCCAGCAGGTGTTAGCAATCTTATTCTTTGTTCCCCCCCACTTGTTCCTACGGGCAAACGAGATTACTTGATCCAGTGCTCCAGAAGAAGTACGTGTAGCTGCTGTATCTACCCCAGTCACCAGATTGCGCTCTGTGAAGTCCGTTTTTGTATCGCCATGATCTCCATCAGCAGATCTACGTTGTCTGCGTCGTGCTTGCGACCTTTGCGCCAATAGAAATAGATGTGCTGCGATATTCCTGCACGCAAATGCATAGACTAACAATGCTGCTTGCTGATGTGATGATGCGACGCATGATGCACGGCAGACAAGATGGCTTGCGGCAACCGCAGCAAACAACGAACTCGCCGCACATGCCCGTCAAACGTTAAAAGTTGCAGCAGAGCCACCCAAGTGCTCCTTCTTCGATTCTGTTGGCTGGCGTTCGTAACCTCAATCGCTACTGCCTCGTGTGTGTGGTTGACGTACACGTATGCACAGACGACCCCGTTCCTTTCCACCAGCAACCAATAAGGGATCGATGCAGCAGCAAACAGTGTTGCGTGCCCACACCAGTCCACAATTCATGTTCCGGCAAGCAGGGCCGACCGGTGGCCGAAGTGCGACATTCGCCGTTCATCAGCTGCCGGCCGCCCGACGCCTCAGCTGCCGCGCTTACACTTGAAAAATCAACATCGGCACCTTTTCCGCGGGAACGAATCTTTTCTCGACTGTTTTCTCTGCTGCCGCTGTCACCTGGTGCGATGCCATGCCCTGCATGCAAGATCCGAATTTGAACTGGACTTCAACGGAGAGAGATAGAGAGTCCACACACCCTCCGACACACACGAGGAGAAAAGCGAGAGAGGGACGCGCAACACTCCTCGCCCGTCCGGGACAGGGGCCGCCCCCACGGGATTTGGCGTGTAGAGAAGGAAGGGGCACGGGGACAGAGGTCGTGTATCTATTGCGCCGCTGCGCGTTAGTGACGGTCATCATCGATCTGATATCTGACAACGCCCGCGGGCTGTTGGCGTGTTAGCCCAGCTGGAAAGATGGGTGTGGGCGCCAGCGCTCCTCCTCCTCTTCCGACAGGGAGGCAGGCGGAGGGAGTGCGCGTGCGCGTGGCGGTGAAGGAGAGGTACTTGGCCTACCTCCCCAAGTACATCAACCTTGACGCCGCGCTGACGGAGGAGAAGGTCAGGCTCGTTGCAAATCACTGGAACTTGATTGCGGAAGAGGTGAGCAAAGAAAGAAAGGGCAAGAGCGTTGGGGTACACACGCCTTCTGGTCGTTGTGCAATCATAATCTTACATGCATGCATGCGTACCAGGAGACGGGGCGGACTAGCCAAGACTTGTGTCGGGGATTGCTGCCGAGAGGGACGCGACCTCCGTAGTCATGGTGGCGATCCATCGAGCAGCGTAGCTCGTGAATCCCTACGCATGATGACCACCGTCGTGTTTTTAAGATGACTGAGAAAAGTAGGCACGACACCCAAAACACAAGACACTCCCACCGCGCCAGCAATTCCAGCAAGCAGCAGATTTGCGCCAGCTCGGAAAAGCGAAATCCATCCGTAGTTCCTCTCTTACGTACGCATACATTAGACGAGAAAAAGCGAAGAAAGTGTTCCTGATTTGTTGTTGGTGATGACTCTGTGGGTCTGCTGCTGCTGCTTCACCAACTGCCACCACCTGCCTGCTGCACAACATCGACGCCCGCCCGCCCGCCAGCTTTCGGTGCGAGGATTCAGGCAGGGTAGAGCAATACAAAAGGCGAAGCAACAAGAGCAGACACCGGTTTTGACCGTGCTGTGATGATGCTCCGCGTTGTTGAGCTGCTACTGCACACCTCGGTTTTTGTTGTCGTCGAGTTGCGGCTGATGTCGTATGCTTGAATGTCCAACTGCAGACCACGCGGCAACCATTTCAATCCACAGACTAGACTATTTGTCGGGCCTTGGAGTTAGCTATTTACGTACTTGTACCTGTTGTGACGGGTGACGTGGGCGTTCGTTGGTGGTATCATCGGGGCTTGGGTTGGTTGTTCCTGGCCGGAAGATACGATGACACGATGCCCTTCTTTCGCGCGGTGCAACTGTTTGCTCGAGTTTCACTGCTGTGTTTCGGGGGACGTTGACCATGTTCCTTCAGTATGACCATGATCCTAAAACGGGTTGTTGATGGCCAAGTATACCCCCCCGCATGCGTACAACAGCAGTGCATCGGATCGAGACATGGAGACTATTTGCAACGAACAGCAGCGCATGTTAGCACCCTCATTAGTCTCCTTGGCCATCTTGTATGATTGCGGCAGCACGCGGGGCATGAGAGGCCGCCGAAATACCCCACCCTCGCACAGCCCCCCAATGCCTTAGCGAGCAGTCGTGGGCTTCGGTGGGCTGGGGCATGCATTTGCATAATTGCCCGACTTTGCTGTGCATGTGTTTACCCACGTGGGTTGTGTGCTCTTGGTACGCACTCATCATGGGTGGTACCATTCCACATGCAGACTCTCCCTTTCTTCCCCTCGCTGCCTCGGCAAGGTTTTGCGTAGGCATGACCCTTAGCGAGGGGGGGGGTCTTTCTAGCGAGCAGGGCTAGACTCACCCTCAAGGGACCGATACCTTCTTGCTGCGGCGCACCCGCCGCGAGGCGTGCGTAGTGGTGGAGTTGGGTCGGCACTGGTGCGTCAGGTACAAAGGTGCAGATGCGCGGGCCTCCAGGCCGTCGGTGTAGCCAGCAATGCCCATCTCATCTTTGTGCGCGGAGGCAGACGTCATCAGAAAGGTGGACGGACACTATGTACACGGCCCTAGGTTTGCTAGAGGGAGCTGTACTGTCTCAGTAACCTGGTTTTGCCATCAAGGAGGAGGGGACAGGTGGTGACGAGCTGATTGGGCTGGTTGATCCTGCGGCGCGAGAATTTTTAGACCAAGAACCCTAAGTGCAACGAGGGAGAAAGCGAGGAACCGACTGGGATGGACAGCAACGAGAGCGTGCACGAAGCGGAGCGGGTCGAGTTTGGTCGTGCTAGGGCTGGCCACAGCGGCACCGGAGCAGGCGGACGGCATCGAACCGTGGCGCACGGACAAACATCTCTTGTGTTGTCAATTATTTCTCCGTTTTTTTCCTGAATACAGGTGTTGGGTATGTGTGATGACGTCACCGGTTTTGTAGAGAGACGCGGCAGAGATGGCGCGGATAACCCGGGTGCCTTAATTGTGTACCTGCGTCGTGGAAGACCCCTTCAATGTGGAACGATTCCTAGTCAATGTCGATGTTCACACTGCTGTGCCTAACACAGATGATCTGGATAGATTCGGGTGATTGTAAGTTGCAATGATGGCTTTGGTTGGGTGTTCTTCTTCATTGTATGTCCACGGACTCATTCTGACAGCACTTCAGACAGCAGCTGCACGCCCCGAGTTTGTGTTCCATGCACCATGGTGGTATTTGTGTACAGACAGCACTTCAGACAGCAGTACGCTGTAGTCGACAAACATTCATTTTGGTTAAATGCGGGACACGGGGGGTGATGCTGCTGCTGTAGTCGAATTGTAGTGTGTGGGCGTGTAGTTCAGTTGTGAGCACGCAAACGTGCTGCAGGGATTGCAGGTGTACCTCCTCGGGCTTGTGTACCCTTTTCTTGCTAATAGTGTGTGTGTTCTTTATATCTTCTGATGGCTCTAGCATTTTTGTGACCACGGACCGAGTCTTTGCTAGATTTTGGGATTAGCAACTGACACGAGTTTAATGTGAACAAAAACAACAACAACAACAATGACGTGTCTTTGCCTGGAGTGCGGCAGAGACAACTTGCACACGAGTCTTTCGCGCAGAGCCCGCGTTCTTTCTTGTTTCTTTGGGGGCACTGCTTGCCATGAGTGGGGTACTCACTCCATGCGCACAATCGTTCATCACTGCTGCTGGGCGATTCCTCTTCCGGACGTCATCATATGCATATAGTACATCCATTTGAGTAGCAACCGAGAGGGTGCACCATCTCATCAACTACACCCATACACACCCTTCCACGTTCTTTGCTATGTATGCCCTGCAGCAGCAGCAGCAGCAGCAGCAGCAGCAGCAGCAGCTCCATCCCACCATTTCTAATCTATTTCCGTCTTGCATGTGATTGGGCCTTGCGCCCTCCGTCTCCTCTCTCCTCCTGAAAAGGCGAAGAAAAGAAAAATAGTCCCGAAAGGCTGCAGGCTCGAAACTTTGGCTGAAGAGACAGACGGCAGGCAGCCGGGAAAGATACACCGATACTACCGCAGTGTGTGCCTTTTCACAGCAAGCACTTGTGTCGTTGGCGTTGTTGCCGCAGGTCCTCCTGCTGTTGTATCTGCCGCCGCACCTACATACCTGTTGCCGTGCTTGGTCTCCACGCTGAGGTTACCAGCAGCCCATCCCGCACTTTGGATCTACAATCAGTCTGTGCATGCCCCCTACTCATCAACCCCCCTGCCTTCCCACATTGTGTCCACGCTGCATGACCGTCGCCGCTCTTGCGACTGCTGCGGCCTGCCGCGGCCTGCCGCGGCCTGCCGCGGCCTGCGATGCCACTGCTTTGATTGGATGCCATTGTTGAAACCGCTACACTGCGACACGTGTCCGCCGTGTATATGTACGGTAGGATGACACCGGCATGCAGGACGCGGGCTTGGCGCCGTCCCGCATCAGCGTGTTCTACGACGCGTTCTACGAAAAGCTGTTCGAGAAGGCGCCGAAAACGAAGGACCTGTTTGACGGCAACATGGTCCGGCAGAGCAGAGCACTCGTCAAGGTGTGTATGTGTGCGCGTATGTGTGTGTATTAGCATTGACCGCGCTAGCTGGCTGACCGATGAAAATTCTTCAGTCTTTTAGACTAGTGCGGTTGTTGAAAACACAAGGAGTTTCTGAACGCCACGATCTGGCACCCTATGACCGAGCGTCATGGAGGAGTCTGCGCTTCATTCTGGTTTCAAGACAAGACATTTATTCCGTAGCAATGACAGAAGAAAGCTGCAAGGGTTCAACGTGTATGTGTGCGCACGTGTGTCGGCGTGACTCGAAGATAGCCCGCGTCGCGCTGTTCCAAAAATATCTGCGCCTAGTTCCATGCGCCTAGTGTATGCGTGAGGCGGAAAACAGTAGGTGTTTTGCAAGGTGTTTTGGGCTTTTGTCCTGAGTCGATTAGCCCAGGAGTTGTATACGTGGCTTTTTTGTTGGTAAGGGTACAATACCGAAAACGTGTGTGCTTTCGAACTTGCATTCGAAATTGGAAGACAGAGACATGGCAGGGTGGGTCGATCCCAACCCTTTCCCTGACCCCCCCACCCCCACCCCATGCGAAATGCAACGAACCTGTGTCGACCCCTTCCTGCAAAAACCTGCGTGTTGAACGGGTCCTTCGGGGATTGCTGCTGCCTCATCATCAGATGGTGTCTTGGTTGTGCAACCTCGAGGTGACGGACGACCTCGTCAGCAGACTGGAAGCACTGGCTGACCGCCACGTGGGCTACGGCTGCCTGCCGTTGCACTGTATGTACCTTTCCGTCTCCCCTTGTGTCCGCTCGCCGACGACCCCCTTTTCTTCGTGCTCATTCCCCAAACAGATTTAAGGGGTCATGCTTCCATTTCCTCTACGTATGCCACGCCCCCCCGTCCTCCGCTACTTACGTGGGAACGTTGATATCTCCCGGAAGTTGGTGTAAAAGCAGTTTCTCCCCCCCCCCCCCCCTGT